CGTCATACTTTCAATGTCCATCAGGGCCGACGACACGATTTTTGCAGTGTGTGTGTGGGGAGGGGGGGCCGGAGCACACTACCTTATTTAAAAAAAAAGTCCTCGATTTTTTATAAAAGTTGTCAACTTTAATAAATAAAAAGTAAGTGAGGAGGGGCACTTGCACCCTGGCCCTACCTCCACCCCTCCCTTGACGTCGGCCCTGCATGTCACAAGATGGATAAAAATTGTTTTTTTTAATTTGCTAATAATAACCTTCATCCAACTTATAAAAAAAAAGATTGTCAAAATTTTATTCCATATAATATGGAATGAGATCAAATAAGTTTTTTCATTATTTTTTAAATAGGTAGTCATCGCCTGGGGGGAGTGAAATTGCCTAAAAAAGGATAGCATCCTCTATGGACGGCCAAGGTATTTTTCATATTTTGTATTTAACGCAATATTTTCTTTCGTAAATACTTAAAATAAAACTCTAAGAAATATACTAGAGTAATTTTAATAGAATGATAGACGCTACATAGAAAAACGTTTAAATATTACGAAAATAGTAGTGGTTACCGATTTGCTTTGTAATGGTTATTAACAAATTTATAAAATCACATACAAGTGAAAAGTCAATTTTGAGTTTTGAATCAAATCATGAAAAGTTTAGGTTTGTTGCATAAAACATCGACAGCCTTTTCAAGTGTTGGAAAAGAATATAAGTGAGCGTCTGTCAAACATTTTATACAGTAAGTACGCATTTCATTCACAACAAATCGAACATCAAGAGGGACCCAGAGCAAAGACACCACAATTGAAACTATCAACTTGCTTATCAACGGGAAGAAATGTTACTTAAAGCTTTCCATTCTTCACAAGTGGTTGAAAGAGGGGTTTTAAACATTTTTTCGAAATCGATGTTAGGTTAGTGCGCAGGCTATCGCACACTTAAACCCTGCCATTTAAAGTAAATGCTAATAGCCAATGAGAATTACCACCGTGCAATATTTGAAGGTGGTCACCAGAAACTTGGAAAAATGTGAACTTCTTTTTCTGGCAGTTTAATACTGATTAGCAAGTTTCATGGCTAAGAAGAGCCTCACAAATTAACTTTTGCCCTGCGTCAATAAGATTGTTGTTCAACCAGCTATCTTTACTTTCCAAAATTTCCCTATCTGCTTCTGTGAGCTCATACAGTTCATTCTTAAGTCATAAAGACGAAACTTGCAAAGATGATTGATTTGGCTGACATACCTTTGTTTTCCAGAAGATTCGATCTATGATATACCAAGAGTGTTTCTGAGGTGTCAAGACAAGCCAAGAAGATCGCCACTTTTTATCATCTATGCAATTTGATAGTTGGCTAGCTAGACCACTAGATTTTCCAAAAGTTTTTATTAACATTTATGTACTTACAGTATTACTTTCATTATTATGATCGGAGGGCTTTCCAAGAGGCTTCCACGAATCAATATATCGCGAGGTTAGAATTATTTTGTTCTATCTCCACTTTTTGAAAAAAATGAGTTATTAGTTGTGTCATGTACCTAAAAATATTGTTTTTCTACTAAGTTAAAATCAAAAAAGTTTCGGAGAAAAGATAAGTAATAAAAATCTTTTTATATGCCGTCTCCTAAAGTTTTTATTTTTTAAATCGTTTTATCTCGAAACAAAAAAATGTGGAGATAGAACAAAATAATTCTAACCTCGCGATATATCTTTGTAAGTAAGGTAGTACCTTTTCTTTCAATTAAACGGGCCCACTTGCTACACGTTGATTTGATACTTGCATAGGTCTCACACTTGTGTCCAGGAAATGAGTTCTCCGATTGTTGCACGGCATACATCAAAATCATCTCAACAATTTTGTCAGGTGCATGATTCCAAAAATATGAAGATCCTTCAACTAATATTGGTTTTAAATTGTCGTCTGCTCCTTGAATGTAAGTTTTAAGTTGAACAATGTTGTATATTTTTTCAAGAGTTAACCCTAATACGTTTTTTAAAGTTGCAACTCCTTTTTCAGAGATATTCACTACAGTGAAAGGACCAAGCCATTTTTGTGAAAACTTCCCACCCTTCCGATCAAATCGTTTGTTGTTTTTTAATAATACAATGTCATCTACCTTATTTTCTAACTTTGACAAATGTCTATTATCATAATCTCGTTTTTTGCTTTTTCTGCGCAACTTTTATATTTTCGCTTGCTTCAGACATGATTGTTGCTCTTTACTTGTTAATGAAAAGACGGCATCAAAAAAGTTGAAATTGAATGGTTGTTCTACGTCTATATTTTCTTCTCGGTGTACTTGTTTATTGCTTTCGTTTTTGACAAGGCTATGCTTTACATCAATTGGCAAAATTGGTTCGCGATTATACATCAGCATGAATGGAGAGTAGTTAGTAGAAGAATGTCGACTAACGCGATGAGCAAAAAGGATACCCTCAATAATTTGCGGCCACATTTTAGGATTACCTTCCAAAATCTTTACCAAAGAATTTTTATTGTTCGGTTTTGATATTCTACCAATCTATTTGCCTGAGGGTGATAAGCAGACGTAACTCTCTGCTCTATTCCAGTTAGTTCGTGTAGTTGTTTACATACTTTGTTTACAAACTCCCGACCCTGGTCATTGATTTGGATTTTAAAGTACCCATGCCGACTCATAATCTCGTACAAAAATCGAGAGACAGTTTGAGCTGATTTTTCCTTGATAGGTTTAGCCTCGGACTATTTTGAAAAATAATCGATCAAGACAATGATATGACAATACCCTTCGACTACTGGAAGATTACAAATGTCTACTCCAACTTGTTCCATTACACTTGATGGTACTGGTATAGACTTCAATTCTACTTTTGGAGACTTTAGGTCACCTTGTTTTTGACATTGTTCGCAGCTCCTAATATACTTACTAACATCAGCAGCAATATTATACCAAAAAAATCTTTGCGCAATATTGTCATACGTAGTGTTTTTTCCTTTAGGTGAGGCCATTGCCTTAGAGTGTTCAGAATCACCAATACCTCGGTGAAAGTCTCTAATAACTTCAATTTGGAGTTCTTTGTCTTTAACAACCATTCTCTTATTATAAAATAAATGTCTGTCTTTCACTTCAAACCGTTTTGCTGCTCTTTAAAAATTTGATTTAACCCCATAATCATGTGTAGATATAGTAGAAGGGTATTTTTTATTCCTAAGATAATCTTTTATGTTATCAAAATAAAAATGTTTTCTTTCCTTTGCCATGAAGCAGCACACTTGTGTTTATTTGTAAAATTTATTTATTTGTTTACGTATGAAACAATTATAGCGCATTATTTAAACATGCTTTTGCGTTCGAAATCAACTTTGATTCTATTCTAAATTCTATTTACAGATTTAAAAAAAAAAAAAATTTATTGCAGAATAGACTTTTTTGTAAATTTTCTTTTTGAATCGCAAGTTCTTGGAGTCTTAATTTACCGCTCAAATCATAATTTCCCGTGAAATTATGACTCATAACATCAAATTTTCACGTCAAATATTCCTTCAAAGTCTTAATTTCCTTGAGTCTTAATTTACCGCTACAACGGTGCTCCAGGAAGTCCTAACGATCTTATCACAGGGTACACGGCTGCAACTACTACACAACGGGTGCATTCAATTATTTAATTTTTTTTGCGTTTTCTCAAATGTTTATAAACTGATCATTGTACTTCAACAATCATTTTAGCAATATTGAGTTTTTTTTAATTATTAAGAGCTGTTTTAATTAAACAGTTTTTTAGACTGACGTTCATATTTTGACTGAAAAATAATTTTGCCATCTTTAAATGTAGAGACAGCGCTCATAATTTTGAGTTAAAGGGTGTAATAACTGGAGTTTTTTATTTAAAATTAATTAAGACCTTTATATTTAAAATATCGAAGTAACCAAAAAGCAATTTCATGTCATAAGTACTAAGAATGCCTGACAGTAAAGTGTGATCAATTTCATATCTAGTGCTATCAAAGATTGCCTGACAGTAAAGTGTGATCAATTAGTTTAATAGGTTTTCAAGCCGATTAAAACAAGTTATAATTGCAAATTGAGATCTAAAGGCAATAGGCATTGATACTTGTAAACATAAGTACAAAAAGAAATAGCAAATTTTTTTTTACTCTTGTTGATTGTAATTTGCTACACGCAACAAAAAAAGGATTTTCATCTATTCTTAACAAAAAAATTCCATAATTCAAAAAAAAAAAAAAAAAAACGTTAAAAAAGATTTTATTAACATGCAAGTCATCGGTACATATTAAAATCAACATAAATACTTTATATTTTACATATACCATTGCCACCAGTACAACTAAGAAATGAATAATGGAAGTTAAAAACTGGAGATTTTGACATTTAACATCTATTGCATTTTTTACAAATTTAAAAAAGTTTTAATTGGCTTTTCAAAAAAGCAAAAAGATACGAATTGTACTCTCTACGTAACACTGTATGTCAATTAAAATAGTGGAGATAAACATAAAAAACATACAATAGATTGCAAGTTGAACTTTTATTGACTAGTCCTTTATCTTTAGGAGAAAGTAAACAAAGTACTGACTGTTTGGCAGGCGCAATAAATCAAAATATATTTTAAGTAAAAAAAAAAACATCTCATTTTAAAAATGTTAATGGAGTAATGGATGTCCGTTTCCTGACCACACAGCAATGAAATCGGACTAACTATTATTATTAAAACAAAAATATTTTGTTTCCATCAAAAAACGTTAATAATTAAAAAAAAAAAAAACAGATAATTATAGCAGAACTAACTAGCTCAAAGTCAGAAGCGCAACCAAAGGGCTGAAACTTTTGGAAAAAAGCCTGTTTTTTTAAGATTGCGTTTCCTAATCCTACTCCAAAACAACTTCTCCACTCTCCGCTCACAACCCTACTGCGCCTCTGAAAAGAATAATAGCATAACAAAACATTTAAGCAAACAAAAAACTAACAAAAAATTTAATGAAAAAAACTGTTCAACAAAAAAAAATCTGAAGAAACGCTTAGATTTTTTAAAAATATTAGACTGCACATCACAACGAGTCAGGATTTAACATTGAACATTAGGGACCTCATAAAAAGTCCATTATAAAAACTAAAACATAACCTAAACATAAAAAAAAAATGTTTCATACTTGTGTATAATTTATATGTATAAAAAGCTAATATATTAGTAAAAACGCCTTATAAGTACGTAAGCTTCTTATGAAACAGAAGTAATTGCATTTTGAGGTGAACCCATTTGTGTTAAAACTTTATCAAGCCATTGTAGAGGTCCGTGAAGATGTATTTCGATCCAGCAGGGGGTACTTGTAACATCTTGTCGATGATATTCTGCCCCCCAGCCTTTTACAAAACTCATTCTGATTGTACAATGTTTTGAAAGCTCATACACAGCTTCATAGCCGTGATTAACACTTTGAGATAACAATTGGGCAAATTCTTGGTTGTTAAAGATCTTTAGAGTACACTGTGGAGGTATTTTACAAACAGTTGACGGATGAAAACCATGGTGATAATTACAGTTTTTACTTTGAACAAACACAGCACTGTCACTTAAACATTCGGCAAACACTTCACCCCCAACGTAATACAAATGAACTCCCTTGCTTATATGTCTTCTGGTATTTTCTATTGTAGAATTACGATTAACATTTGACATGCCACCAAGACAAAATCTATCACTACTTGTGTTCGGATCTGTAAACCCATCAATTATAAGACTTGTACCGGATGCATGAAATGGTTCACCAACACGTAGATTTAACTCGTAGTATGCTATAGAACACCAATTTAATGGATCTTGATACGTTATTGGCGTAACATCTGAATAAAAAATTACTTATAAATAAACAAATAACGATTAAAATTAATTGAAAAACGTTAAAAAGTTTAGAACAAATTAAAAATGTTTTATTAAAGCAGGATTATAGGATGATTTAAATAACATATTATAATAAAATAACTTGAATCAAGTAATTATTTTGTATTGATTAATCATTTCAATCGAGTATTTTTTATTAAATGATGATTTAAATCAGATAATTGCGTGATAATAAAAATTGATAATTTAACTATTTTGATGATTTTAATCAAACTTTTTGGAATGATTAACAAATTGAATCAAGTTTTTTACTTATGCTCGGTTTTAACTATTTGAAAAACAATAACAGCAAAAACCTAGTGTCAAAGTATATAAAAAAAACTAAATAAAATAGACATGGCAAAACTATATGTAAAATAAATTACACAAAAAAAATACAAAAAAACAAAATAACAAGAGCGTGAACAATATCAAAATTTATATATCAATATAAAGTCAACAAGTTTGTATAATATTTATCCCATCAAAGATAACCAAAAGAAACACAACTTAAACAACAACTTTTTATAACTGTTTGAATTACTCTGATACTTTAAAAAGAAAAAGAAAATAAGAAAAAGAAAATAAGAAAAAAAAAATAAGAAAAAGAAAATAAGAAAAATAAAATAAGAAAAAGAAAATTAAAAAAAATAAAATAAGAAAAATAAAATAAGGTTTTTCCCTTGACTCCTCAGCTTGAAATGTACAAAAAAAAA